AAGAGGGGGTTGGCTGCACTCACCTTAACATGCATAAATGGGGGTGCTGCTGGGGGCCAAATAATACAATACACAAGATCCAGCGCACTCACCTATCCACTAAACAGCAACTTCAATGTTGAAAGATTTTATTTGTTTTTTTTTAAAACACCTAATCTAGGCAAAAATAATGGGGGTTTAGTTACATTATATGATCATACATTGCATAAGCCTGCCACAACGTCAATGTACCCCATCTTTGGCAGGTCCTACACTAACAGCCTAATGTCTGCTCTTATGAGATTAACCTACTTGGGGAAAGAAATTCCATCTAGGGCTCTCTGCAGTACAAGGCTAAATAGGGCCCTGGGATGAGGCACCTGTGACAGGGAGGGGTGCAAAACCAAGGAGTTGGCTAGACTCCCAAATATATAAAACAAGAGGGGGTTGGCTGCACTCACCTTAACATGCATAAATGGGGGTGCTGCTGGGGGCCAAATAATACAATACACAAGATCCAGCACACTCACCTATCCACTAAACAGCAACTTCAATGTTGAAAGATTTTATTTGTTTTTTTTAAAACACCTAATCTAGGTAAAAATAATGGGGGTTTAGTTACATTATATGATCATACAGTGCATAAGCCTGCCACAACGTCAATGTACCCCATCTTTGGCAGGTCCTACACTAACAGCCTAATGTCTGCTCTTATGAGATTAACCTACTTGGGGAAAAAAATTCCATCTAGGGCTCTCTGCAGTACAAGGCTAAATAGGGCCCTGGGATGAGGCACCTGTGACAGGGAGGGGTGCAAAACCAAAGAGTTGGCTAGACTCCCAAATATATATAAAACAAGAGGGGGTTGACTGCACTCACCTTAACATGCATAAATGGGGGTGCTGCTGGGGGGGGGGCCAAATAACACAACACACAAGATCCAGCGCACTCACCCATCTACCAAACAGCAACTTCAATGCTGAAAGACTTCATTTGTTTTTTTAAAAACACCTAATCTAGGCAAAAATAATGGGGGTTTAGTTACATTATATGATCATACAGTGCATAAGCCTGCCACAACGTCAATGTACCCCATCTTTGGCAGGTCCTACACTAACAGCCTAATGTCTGCTCTTATGAGATTAACCTACTTGGGGAAAAAATTCCATCTGGGGCTCTCTGCAGTACAAGGCTAAATAGGGCCTGGGGTGAGGCACCTGTGACAGGGAGGGGTGCAAAACCAAGGAGTTGGCTAGACTCCCAAATATATATATAAAACAAAGAGGGGGATGGCTGCACTCACCTTAACATGCACAAGCCGGGGGTGCTGCTGGGGGCCAAACAATACAATACACAAGATCCAGCGCACTCACCTATCCACTAAACAGCAACTTCAATGTTGAAAGATTTTATTTGTTTTTTTAAAAACACCTAATCTAGGCAAAAATAATGGGGGTTTAGTTACATTATATGATCATACATTGCATAAGCCTGCCACAACGTCAATGTACCCCATCTTTGGCAGATCCTACACTAACAGCCTAATGTCTGCTCTTATGAAGATTAACCTACTTGGGGAAAAAAATTCCATCTGGGGCTCTCTGCAGTACAAGGCTAAATAGGGCCCTGGGATGAGGCACCTGTGACAGGGAGGGGTGTAAAACCAAGGAGTTGGCTAGACTCCCAAATATATATAAAACAAGAGGGGATTGGCTGCACTCACCTTAACATGCATAAATGGGGGTGCTGCTGGGGGCTAAATAATACAATACACAAGATCCAGCGCACTCACCTATCCACTAAACAGCAACTTCAATGTTGAAAGATTTTATTTGTTTTTTTAAAAACACCTAATCTAGGCAAAAATAATGGGGGTTTTAGTTACATTATATGATCATACATTGCATAAGCCTGCCACAACGTCAATGTACCCCATCTTTGGCAGGTCCTACACTAACAACCTAATGTCTGCTCTTATGAGATTAACCTACTTGGGGAAAGAAATTCCATCTGGGGCTCTCTGCAGTACAAGGCTAAATAGGGCCCTGGGATGAGGCACCTGTGACAGGGAGGGGTGCAAAGAGTAAAGTGGCTAGACTCCCAAATATATATAAAACAAGAGGGATGGCTGCACTCACCTTAACATGCACAAATGGGGGTGCTGCCGGGGGCCAAACAATACAACACACAAGATCCAGCGCACTCACCTATCCACCAAACAGCAACTTCAATGTTGAAAGATTTTATTTGTTTTTTTTTTTTAAAACACCTAATCTAGGCAAAAATAATGGGGGTTTAGTTACATTATAT